TAGCTTGGGGAAACTGCGCTGGGAGGGAGCGAGACCGGATGCTCGACGGGATAAAGCCGTGGAAATAGCTTGGGGAAATAGCTTGGGGAAACTTCGCTGGGAGGGAGTGAGACCGGATGCTCGACGGGATGAAGCCATGGAAATCGCTTGGGGAAACTTCGCTGGGAGGGAGCGAGACCGGATGCTCGACGGGATGGATGAAGCCGTGGAAATATAGAAATTTCGCTGGGAGGGAGCGAGACCGGATGCTGGACGGGATGAAGCCGTGGAAATAGCTTGGGGAAACTGCGCTGGGAGGGAGCGAGACCGGATGCTCGACGGGATGAAGCCGTGGAAATAGCTTGGGGAAATAGCTTGGGGAAACTTCGCTGGGAGGGGGCGAGACCGGATGCTCGACGGGATGAAGCCGTGGAAATAGCTTGGGGCAACTTCGCTGGGACGGAGCGAGACCGGATGCTGGACGGGATGAAGCCGTGGAAATAGCTTGGGGAAACTTCGCTGGGAGGGAGCGAGACCGGATGCTGGACGGGATGAAGCCGTGGAATTAGCTTGGGGAAACTTCGCTGGGAGGGAGCGAGACCGGATGCTCGGCGGGATGAAGCCGTGGAAATAGCTTGGGGAAATTTCGCTGGGAGGGAGCGAGACCGGATGCTGGACGGGATGAAGCCGTGGAAATAGCTTGGGGAAACTTTGCTGGGAGGGAGCGAGACCGGATGCTGGACGGGATGAAGCCGTGGAAAACGCTTAAGGAAACTTCGCTGGGAGGGAGCGAGACCGGATGCTCGACGGGATGAAGCCGTGGAAATAGCTTGGGGAAACTTCTCTGGGAGGGAGCGAGACCGGATGCTGGACGGGATGAAGCCGTGGAAATAGCTTGGGGAAACTGCGCTGGGAGGGAGCGAGACCGGATGCTGGACGGGATGAAGCCGTGGAAATAGCTTGGGGAAACTTCGCTGGGAGGGAGCGAGACCGGATGCTGGACGGGATGAAGCCGTGCAAATAGCTTGGGGAAACTGCACTGGGAAGGAGCGAGACCGGATGCTGGACGGGATGAAGCCGTGGAAATAGCTTGGGGAAACTTCGCTGGGAGGGAGCGAGACCGGATGCTCGGCGGGATGAAGCCGTGGAAATAGCTTGGGGAAACTTCGCTGGGAGGGAACGAGACCGGATGCTGGACGGGATGAAGCCGTGGAAATAGCTTGGGGAAACTTCGCTGGGAAGGAGCGAGACCGGATGCTGGACGGGATGAAGCCGTGGAAATAGCTTGGGGAAACTTCGCTGGGAGGGAGCGAGACCGGATGCTGGACGGGATGAAGCCGTGGAAATAGCTTGGGGAAACTGCGCTGGGAGGGAGCGAGACCGGATGCTGGACGGGATGAAGCCGTGGAAATAGCTTGGGGAAACTTCGCTGGGAAGGAGCGAGACTGGATGCTGGACGGGATGAAGCCGTGGAAATAGCTTGGGGAAACTTCGCTGGGAGGGAGCGAGACAGCATGCTGGACGGGACAAAACCGTGGAAAATAGCTTGGGGAAACTTCGCTGGGAGGGAGCGAGACCGGATGCTGGACGGGACAAAACCGTGGAAATAGCTTCGGGAAACTGCGCGGGGAGGGAGCGAGACAGCATGCTGGACGGGACAAAACCGTGGAAAATAGCTTGGGGAAACTGCGCTGGATGGGAGCGAGACAGCATGCTGGACGGAAAGCTGTGCTGGGAGGAAGCGCGACAGCATGCTGGACGGGACAAAACCGTGGAAATAGCTTGGGGAAACTTCGGTGGGAGGGAGCGAGACAGCATGCTGGACGGAGAAGAAAGCGTGCAAATAGCTTGCGGAAAGTTGCGCTTGAAGGGAGCGAGACAGCATGCTGGACGGGATGATGCCGTGGAAATAGCTTGAGGAAACTTCGCTGGGAGGGAGCAAGACAGCATGCTGCACGGAGACGAAAACTGTGGAAATAGCTTGCGGAGAGCTTTGCTGGGAGGAAGCGCGAGAGGATGAGACAGCATGCTGGACGGAGAGGAAACCGTGCAAATAGCTTGCGGGGAGCTTCGCTGGAAGGGAACGAGACAACTGGACGGATGGGAAACCGTGGAAATAGTTTCGGAGAGCTTCGCTGGGAGGAAGCGAGATAGCATGCTGGACGGAGAGGAAACCGTCCAAATAGCTTGCGGAGAGCTTCGCTGGGAGGGAGCGAGACAGCATGCTGGACGGAGAGGAAACCGTGAAAATAGCTTGCGGAGAGCTCCACTGGGAGGGAGCGAGACAGCATGCTGGACGGAGAGAAAACCGTGGAAATAGCTTGGGGAAAGTCCGCTGGGAGGGAGCGAGACAGCATGTTGGACGGAGAAGAAACCGTGCAAATAGGTTGCGGAGAGCTTCACTGGGAGGGAGGGAGACAGCATGCTGCACGGAGGAAAGTGTGAAAATAGCTTGCGGAGAGTTTCGCTGGGAGGGAGCGAGATAACATGCTGGACGGATAGGAAACCGTGGAAATAGCTTGCTGAGCTGGGAGGGAGCGAGACAGCTTGCGGAAAGCTTCGCTGGGAGGGAGCGAGACAGCATGCTGGACGGAGAGAAAACCGTGCAAATAGTTTGCGGAAAGCTTTGCTGGGAGGGAGCGAGACAGCATCCTGGACGGAGAGGAAACCGTGGAAATAGGTTAAGGAGAGCTTCGCTGGGAGGGAGCGAGACAGCATGCTGGACGGAGAGGAAACCGTGCAAATAGGTTGCGGAGAGCTTCGCCGGGAGGAAGCGAGATAGCATGCTGGACGGAGAGGAAACCGTGCAAATAGCTTGCGGAGAGCTTCGCTGGGCGGGAGCGAGACAGCGTGCTGGACGGAGAGGAAACCGTGCAAATAGGTTGCGGAGAGCGTCGCTGGGAGGGAGGGAGACAGCATGCTGGATGGACAGGAAACCGTGGAAATAGCTAGCGGAGAGCTTCGCTGGAAGGGAGCGAGACAGCGTGCTGGACGGAGAGGAAACCGTGGAAATAGCTTGCGGAGAGCCTTGCTGGGAGGGGGCGAGACAGCATGCTGGACGGGACAAAACCGTGGAAATAGCTTGCGGAGAGCTTCGCTGGAGGGAGCGAGACAACATGCTGGACGGATAGGAAACCTTGAAAATAGTTTGCGGCAGAGCTGTTGGCACGGGTTTTTTCAGGACAAATGCCATCATTGCGATTGGCCTGAAAAAATTGTGGACCCAAGACTGGTCAAATGGTCCCAAGACCGGTCAAACGGTTTGCAAAGGCTGAAAAATGGGACATGCACAGAGAAGCTTTTACACAAAAAAAGCCTTTACACAGAAACTTTGACACACAGACGCGTTTACAGAGACACAGAGGAGTCTTGACACAGAAGCCTTTACGCACAGAAGCTTTTTTGCACAGAGTAGCTTTTACACACAGAAGTCTTTACACAGAGAAGTCTTGAGACAGAGAAGCCTGTACACACAAAGGCTTTTACAGAGAGAAGCCTTTCGCACAAAGAAGTCTTGACACAGAGGAGCTTTTACGAGAGAAGTCCTTACACAAACGAGATTTACACGCAGAAGGTGTTACAGATAGACGTTCTTTCGGCGCACAGAAACTTTAACACAGAGCAGCTTGTACACACAGAAGCTTTTACACAAAAAAGCCTTTACACAGAGAAGTTTTTCACACAGGAGCTTTTGCACAAGAAAACTTTTACACAGGAAAGCTTTTACACACAGAAACTTTCACACACAGAAGCTTTGTACACAGAGAAGTCTTTGCACAGAGGAGCTTTTGCACACAGAATCTTGTACACACAGACGCTTTCACACACACACAGGAGGTTTTACAAACAGACAACTTTACGGCGCACAGATTTTTTACACAGAGCAGCTTTTACGCAGCGAAGCTTGTACACACAGGGGGCTTTTTTACACAGAAGCTTTTACATAAGGTTTTTTTAATACACAGAAGCTTTTACACACAGAAACCTTTACACACAGAAGCTTTTACACACAGAAACTTTTACACACAGAAGGTTTTACACACAGAAGCTTTTAACACAAAAAAACCTTTAAACAAAGGAGCTTTTACACACAGACGGGTTTACACAGAGAAGTCTTTACACACGGAGGCGTTTACACAGGAAAGAGTTTACACGGAAGCGTTTACACAGAGTAGTTTTTACACAGAGAAATCTTTACACAAAGAAGTCTTGACACAGAGAAGCTTGCACACACAGAGGCTTTTACACACAGAAGCCTTTTACACAGAGCGGCTTTTTCACAGAGGAGCTTTTACACAGAGGAACTTTTACACAGAGAAGCTTGTACACTCAGAGGCTTTGACACAGAGAAGTCTTTTACACAGAGAAGTTTTTGCACACAGAAGCTTTACACAAACAAAACCTTAACACAGAGGAGCTTTTACAGACAGAAGCTGGTACGCAAAGAAACTTTCGCAAACAGAAACTTTTACACACAGAGCGCGTTTTACACAGAAG